CTTTTTTAAATCAGTCGCTCAAAAGATATACGCTATAAACAAAAAAGTTTTAATTATTGGGACAATTTTTTGAGTCAATGTAGTTAAAAAATATTTAATAAATTAAAATTAACAAATTTATTGTAATTTTAATATTATTTTTATTTTAATATTATATATTAAGTTGTATAAAAATTACAAGTTTAACATTATTATATGACAAATTACGCATAAAATATATTTAAAAAATCAAATTTATTAATAGTTATTTATAACATATTTGAAAACTATAAAGTTTAAGAATTAAAATGAACATATATATGATTCTTTTTTTAAAGCGATAGACTTTATAATAGTGGTTCCAAATTTAAATGGAAATTGAATAATTATATTCAATATTTTGCTGACAATCAAAATAACTTTTCTAATAAATAATGTTAAGTAGATTAATTTTAGCATTTAAGTATTTATTGTATATTTTTGAATTTATGAATGCTGTATATTAAGAAAAATCTAGTTTTTTCAATACTGTATAAATGTATTATATATTACTGTATATAATAAATAATTGAAAGGTACAATGAAAAATAATAAACTCAATATACGTGTTATACCACGAATGAATTTATTTTTACAATAAACGCAGTAATAAAGAAAATATAATAAAATGTAGTCACAAAGTTAAAAATCTAAGATATACATGTATATTAATATTTATTAAAATAAATACTATATAATGTTTACGTTATACGTATATTTATATCTAGCAAACTAATTTATCACATCAAGCTCATGTTGCGCTTCCTTCGATCCCGCTGTCGCTGCCTTGGACAAATATTCCATGTATTTGTTACTGTCGACCGGATAGCCATATTCCCCATTCAGAAAGATCTGAGAAACCATGTATAAAGCATCGGGGAATTTTCCTTGAAGTGCAGCCTTCTTGAGATACTTTAACCCTACATTTTTATCATAATAAGATCCTTTAAGACAAGCATAAGCAAACATGTACTGGCCTATTACGTTATTGGAATCAGCCGATTTTTTGAGAAAATGTAAAGCTCGGCTTTCATCTTTTTCAATGCCATAAATACCTTTGAAAAGGTAAAGGCCTGCATAATATGAAGCCAAACAATCTCACTTTTCCGCATGCTGCAGGAATTGAGGGAATGCCTCCTCGTATCGTCCTTCATCATGTAGAGATATCACTTCATTAATCTCAAGTGATGGCCGGTTTGGATTCACCTCCGTTTTAATATCTTCAAGTTTCTTTTGTATTTCCTCGATTGTTGGACGTTTACCAGGATCATTGTGCCATGCTTCTTTGACTAATATTTTATATTTTTCTGGGGTATCCTCTGAAAACGGCTTGGGACGTTTTCCATTTACTATAACTTTCATCACTTTTATATGATTGTCGATGTTGCTGAATGGAAGCTGGTGAGATGATATTTCCCATAGAAGAATTGCAAAGCTAAAGTCATATTCAAAATATTAAAAACTTTAAGGTACATAATATAAATATAATTTATATCCTTTTTGTATTGTACCTATATATTTCACACTTGTCAGTATACGGCATGTTTGAAAATTTCCATCTTTCTGGCGCTAACCATCTAAACATCATCCAATTAATTAAAATTCTTAAAATGGACGTATTATTACATGCAAAAAGTACAACCTTAGGGATTCTAGTGATTCTTGCGGTAACACCGTTAAATAATGATTATAGGTTTCTTCAAAGAAGTTAGTAAGCTTGGCATCAAGATTACCGTTGAGCAATACATTTTTACTAACCAGAAAGTTTATAATTGAGTAATGATGACAATAATGATAAATGACACGGATTTACTTACCTTCTGATATCTTTATGAAAGATTCCAACGCTATTACAAAAACAAAGACCTCTGGCAATTTGTTCGGCAATTTTGACCTTGGTTTTCCACGGAATTGATATGTTTTTATACAAAAATTCCCGAAGGCTTCCATTTTCCATAAATTCAGTAATTACACTGAGATAGTTTGCCTCATTCACATATACACCGAAGCTGTAATAATGAAATTGCAATAAGAAATTAACGAAATAATCAACTCGAGCATAAAAAAGTTACAAATACCAACAATTTTTCAATATGATCACAACTTCCGAGCAAACGGATTATTTTTGCTTTTCTTGCAATTTCTGCAATTATTGCTTTTTTTGATAATCCTTTCAAATAATCCCTTTTTACTGCAACTATATTTCCATTATATATCCGCTTTTCTAATTTTCTTTTCGAAAATTTGCCTTTTTCGTAATCCTCAAGACTAGATGGATCAAGCTTTAAATTTTCGATATCTTCATCTGTTATATCACTCCCTTTCAAAATAATCATAATTTGTAATGCTGAAAAACCTTCAACCTTCATTTCTATTTCTCCGACATGTTTGTTGGTCCCAAGTGTCATACGATTATAAAAATTGTTTGTTACGTCAATTAGTTTTTCAAGCAAGTTTTTAGTCGCTGAAGAAATCTTAAACAAAATATTTAACTTATTAATATTTTATGGAAGTAAAAATTAATAATTAATAATGGTCACGAAATATCTTACATCATTTGAATTTCCAATTTCCTTGAGCCACATTTTTGCCTTCTCCGTAAATTCTCCAGGTTTGTCTACTTCAGTTACATACAGCCTTATATCATTTAACAAACTTTTATAGGTTTCTTTTAATTTCTCAAGAGGTCCATCGGTGTCGTCGCCTTGTAATGGACATTCGATAATAATTTCCAAACTTTCTTGTACGAGATCAGAAATATATTTACATGCTGCTTTATTATAACGGGAACTTATTGCCAGTTCTTTAATATCCATAGCAATATCAGATATGCTATTCCTGTTCTAATTTTAATCATCAAAGTTCAGATGCTGGGAAATAACAATACTTAAGATAAAATATTAATAAACTAAATACTCACTGTCCGATAATTTTCAAGTATCAGTGTTATTGAAAATGAAATATTTCTTGCATAATTGAATAAAACATGCTTACAAACTATTGTTCTAAAAAAATTATAATCAATTTGAGTTTTTTTAAAATTCAAAACAAATAAGTTATACTTACATTCTATTAATTTATAAACGCGATTATTAGAAGTTGTAAAACATTAGCGGTGTCTTCACAAATGATGTACGTATTAAAAAAATTATTTGCATAAATTGTGAATTTTGTACTCACTTCCTGTTGAATTGATGAAAATTAATGCATCAAGAGTCTAGTCGTTAAGAAAAAGGATTAATATAAGCATAAATTTTATACTAACATCACCCTGTTTTATCAGTTAAAATTTTAATCAGTAAATGAAGAAGCGATGTACATACTCCCTAGTAATTCAGTCAAATTGAAGATAAGGTTATTCGATATTTATAATTAAATGAATTTATGACTTGACTTATAAATACTAACCTTAAATTTAAATTAAAAATAGACTATTTTAATTTTACTGAGATAAGTATAAATAATTATTCACCCCCCTAGTTACAGTATTTAATTAATAAATTATATTAGTGCACGTCGTTTATCAATTAATAATTGCTTTTATATCTATTATGCAATTTAATTAGATTAAAAATGGCCATCGTACTTAACTCTTTAGTAATAATTATATCATTATCAATATTCTAGTTTTAAGCGTTTATAAGTTATATTAATATCAATGATTTATCAATTACTAATATAAATTTACTGGCTTACATTTGAAACACTTAAGGAGCAACTGACAACATCTGCAGAAAAATCGGTACTAGTTGAATCTGAAATAATAATTCACTGAAATAAATATTTTTGTTTTGAAAATAACTTTAACGTTTGCATATATACCTAGACCGTTTATATAATTATTGATATAATTAGAACCATCATAGACTTGCTCGAAAGATAAGGATTGCAATTGACTGAGCGTTTCATCTGCAGTTGGACGAAGAAAAGGGTCTGCATCCCAGCATTTAGAGTAAAGCCGAACGAAAGGTAATGGGGTTCCAATAATTGGGTTCTCACGCTCATTTTTAATTATACGGGAATAAATTAGAGCTAGATCACTTTTATCGAATGGAGGGTAGCAGCTAGAAATTTCCCAAAATATTACACCAAGGCTGTAAATATCAGATTTTGGATTTAATGTATAATGGTTATTTTCTAATTTCTTGGGATCTATGTAAGGCATGACACCAATTATACTCCCTTTACTTGAAGTAATACTATTGAGATTTTTTGAAAGTCCAAAATCGGCTATTTTTATATTTCCGCATTTGACTAAAATGTTTTTCGTATGCTATATATAAGAAATTTTAATTAGTTTTGGGTTGGATAACAATAGAAATTTATGAAATAAATTAAATTACCAAATCACGGTGTGCTACTTTCATTTCATTATGAATATAAGAGATTCCCTCTGTTATTTGAATTGCAAGCTTTATTTTCTCTTCCCATCGAAGTTCATCTTTTTTATTACGTAGATATTCTCTTAGATCGCAATCAGCCAGCTCCATCACAAGATAACAGAGATCTTCATCATAATTGCCTTATGGATTAAAAATTGTCAATGAATGAAAATTGTTACGTATACGAATTGATACAACTGTTCTTACTACGACTAATTCCAAATAATTCAACAATCCTATTATTTTTAGCTCTACTGTGCAATTTTAACTGAAGAAATATATAAACAGTATATACATATAGTATATATAAACATTATAAAACCATAATATTTATTTCTAGTGTTCAAACCTCATTAAGGATGTCCCGTATGGTCGTGGATGTGCCATCTATTCGTAGTTCTTTTAATGCTACTACGTTCCAATGTTCGCCAATATCACATTTATATACGTAACCGAATCCACCCCTTCCGATCCATTTTTTCTTAGATTCTTCAATAAATATTTCGTCCAGTTCGCACTCTGAAATTAGAGTTTTAAGTAATTCACTCATTTTAAGTTCAAAATCTCGTCATTATAGTACACACTGAATTGCAGCGTGTGCGTAATGTGATGTGCATCGGATTGCATGTACGTATTTATATATTTTTATTATTTGTCACATGATTTATTCTCGTAATAAAAGAAGCTGCATTAATTGAAAATAGCTACGATCATCAAAATCGTGTCCCAGTTTACTCTAAAAAAAAAAAAATATAATACACGACAGAGTTTTCAAACTTATTACGTAAACATAAAATAATGCTATAATATACATAATGAAATATACAGTACGTATACATGCGTGCGTGTATTATCTAAGTCAGCGTACACTTTCAGAATTTGATAAACGTCAGGTGATTTTAGCTAGGGGAGCATGCTATATTTAAATATAAATTTGTTTAACCTCTCATCCTCGAAAATTGTACTAGCGTTCTTTTCGCCTTCAAAAAGAACTACCCATTTAAGCAATTCATTTATTGTAATCAATACGTATAATATATGATTGGCATAACGTAATATTTACTATACGTATTTAGTTAGGTATTTATAAACATTATGAAAACCGATTCCGGTTTTATCAAGATCGATTCATCACTAATTGCCTGTACTGTGCGTATATCCGAGGACATATCTCCGAAATTCAATATCACTGTACATTTGCCATTGGATAAGATAAATACTGTGTAAAGTTTAATTTTATATTCCGATAATAAACGCTGTGGGCAGTTTAATTTTAGAGTTTTCCATATTTCGGCTTTTATATACTGTACGTATTTCCAAATTTATTTTCTGGTCGAACGTATAAATTTTAGACACATTATCAATTAAACAAATAAGTACAACTTACTATAATTTTAAGGGTGAAAGGAAAATTTTCTGACTCTAGGATTGTATTCTGTTATTTAGAAAATTTGACCAAACTATTACTGTACTGTATGTTATATTTCGCCGCTTTCAAGAAGTAATGGTTAAATCAATTGTAAATTCGATACTAGATGACCACTGCCATTGGTATAATTAAATCGCAGCAATTAGTTAACAACCGCAAGATATCTTATATCGCTGGATATTTCCAACCAAGGGAAAAAATAAATCCTAAATATGAAATTTTCAGAACGAATAAAACTCATAAAACAAGAACTCGAACTCGAGTTGCTCGAACACTATAATAACTGGGCATATGATGTTGGACGCTGTTATCAATATGGAATTATGGTTAAAAAAAATAAACACAAAGCATTCAAATACTATAAAAAATCCGCCGATCTTGGAAACGTTGATGGAATCTCTCAAGTCGCTTATCGCTATCTTAAAGGAGTTGGAGTTGAAAGAGATGAAAATAATGCGTTTGAATATTACGTCAAATTAGCAAATAAAAATGATACAAATGGAGCATATTGCGTTGGCTACTGTTATTTTAATGGAATAGGAGTTAAAGAAGATAGGTTCAAAGCATTTGAATATTATCAGAAATCATCTAACACTGGTAGTTTTGACGGAAAAATCAGTGTTGGCTATTGTTATAAAAACGGAATTGGTGTTGAAAAGGATGAACATAAAGCATTCGAATGCTATGAAGAATTGGCAAAAATAGGTAATGCGAAAGGAATATATAATGCTGGCCTTTATTATAATGTCGGCTTTTCTTATAGAAATGGAGTGTTTGGAGTAACGAGAGATTTAGAAAAAGCTAAAGATTGGTTTAAAAAGTGAGTAGTTTGATTAATTGTAGCTATCCCTGATAACATTTATATTTTTATATATTTACTAAAGTAATAAGTTTAAATAATTAAAAAGATATAAGAACTCAATTTCAGGTATTCAATAATTCCAAAAAAAAAAAAAAAACAACCAATATTTGTGAACAAAGAAATTAATTTATTAATTTTATTTGCACAGATTATTCAATGAAAAATGCATTGAAGTATGATAATTGGGGTATTGACGATAATTTAAGCAGAATGATAGTTGAAAATAGATATCCATTGTTATGGATTCCCTACAGTGAATTTGATAATAAAGATAAATATAAGGAAAAGAGTGGTAGATTTGCGACAGTATCTTATGCAGAATGGCGCAACAAAGACCTACGAGTAGTAATAAAAACTGCGCTTAAAGAGATTCATGGATCAAAAACTGTAATGAAGAATTTATAAAGGAGGTAAGGAAATAATTTTACATCGATAAACTATAATATTTTGATTCTTATTATTTATCAGTGTCCATTGGTTTATTGGATTTTTCTTTTTTTTTAACACAAAGTTAAAAGCATATTGTGATATCGGCCTCGAAAATCCCACCTTCCTGCAATGTTTTGGAATATCGAAAAATCCTGTCTCTGAAAACTATGTTCTTATTATGGAATACGCATCTGAAGGATCTCTACGTGAAAAATTAAGTGAGATACCGAAGATGGAATGGTTAGACAAATTAAATCTTTTACTTTGCATTTCCTCAGATCTTCAATCAATTCATTCGCGAGAGTATATTCATCGAGATTTACATAGCGGAAACATATTACTGAATGGTAGCCTGCATGGAGCATACATCGCGGATCTAGGACTCTTAATATCAGCCACTAATTCATCAAAAACAAGTGTTTATGGAGTTTTGCCATACATAGCACCAGAAGTTTTACGCGGAGAAAAATATACTACGGCATTTGATGTGTATTCATTTGGAATAATCATGTGGGAGATACTTTATGGGAAACCAGCACATAATGATAAAAATTTTGATAATGACCTTCAATTAGAAATACTAAAGGGTTTACGGCCACGTATTGATGAAGATTCGCCACAATGTTATACTAATCTAATGAAAAGGTGTTGGGAAGCGGAACTAACAAAACGTCCGTCAGCTACAGAAATATACAATACTTTCACAAAATGGCAAAATGAAGAATTTTTAATGGAATTAACTGAATCTGAAAAATTATATAAGGACAAAAGCGAACGCATGGGTAATTAAATTTTTATTTTATCGCACTGATATAAATAATATTGATGGTTACAGTATATATAAATAACATAATACTTAACCATGTAATATAAAATTTATTTGTTAATTATTATTTCATGTTTATTGGAACTATTCAAGACCACCATGATGACGACAATATTCAAGAATCAAGAAATTCAACGGCATCATACCAGGGTAGATTTCTATTTTACGTGATTTGTCTCAATACGTATACGTTTTGTGCTATTATAATACTAAATTGCAATATTTTAATAGCAGATTCACAACTAATAAATCTAGTAATAATGAATACGTACTAAGATAAATAATGTGGTCAATCGAATTATTCCACGAAAACCAATTACCCGCGCAAAAATAAAACAAATCTAAAATAGTTGTATGAAAGGTCAAGGTGTTTTAGAAAGACACTATACCCACAAGTTGTATAATATCAATATTCGTATATGACAAATTGGCTTATATTTATGTAGTAATTATTCTCGTATTTTACTATCTTCACAATACAGTAGCAGCAATTTCATTTTCTCTTGTTGTTTTAAATCGTGGCGCACGTACCGGTTAGACCGCATATTAATTTTATTCTCTTACCCACATTGTAATAAATTAAATAAATAAACTTTACATTTACAACAGATAAATTTCCAGAATTTGAGGCTTGATTATATTTAAAGAATCTCTGTTAAATCTTGATCATACTTTTAGAGGATATTGTATTTCACACTCTCCGATATTCATTATCACGTGTAGTATAGCAATTTTATTAATAGCTGTACGTATGCAACATATGAAATTGCATTGTTGAACCGACTTAGACGAAGTTATATGAGGGCTATTATCGTGAGGTTTTGACTTCAGATCATCTACGGTCAGATCTCGATAAAAGAAACTGTGTACAAATAGTCTATACGTATGGTCAAAAAAAAAATTGTGTATGACAAAGCATGATATCAAAAATTTTCTGGGTCCCAGTTTACTCGATAAAAGAAAATCAGAAACACGGAGGAGTATTTCGAAAAATCTGAAACTTAAAAAAACTTGGTGCATATTAAACTTTTTATTTTACTAACATGTATATCTAACTTTTCATATTACATAAACGTAATCTACACAATGAAAAATATACAGTATATCCTAAAAGTTTTTTTATGGACAGTTAAGTGCTTTAAAATTTTCTAATATTTAAATTTTGTATCTTATTTTTAAATTCAATGTTCTAGTAAACAGTTAGCTATTAATTAATATTGTTTAGATTACTTGTTTTTTTTTTTTTTTTGACTGGCGCAGCCTCGTTTTATTATTTTTTCCAAATTACATTGTAAAAAGTGACTAAAACTGCAGTACAGTGATGTATATTTAGTAATAGTAAAACTCAATAAGCTATATGCTACCTCATGTCCTGTTGCCTTTTTCTCAGGGGAAAGAAAACTAACATGCCAAGGTCATGCTAGTTGTCATTTGAAAAGATACAAGAGAATAAATGTTCATCTGGTATTTTATGTATTCATTTATATAACTGTTTACTATCCTGGTCAAGTTTGAAAAATATTGTTGTAATGTGACTAGGTCTACTTGCTTCCTGTGCTTTCCTGTCCTGTTCTTCATCTGTTTGTTCTGCTTCCATGTACCTTCAATTTTTTTGATAATGAGTTTCCTCACATATTTGCTTCTATATATCATGTAGGAGTTCTTTCCATTCCTTCATCATCTTTGTGATGATCTTGCTTGTTTCTTTTCTATCTAATAACATTGTTTTGAGTGTCTCTGGTATCTCTTTCAGGACCACTCCTTTTATGAAAAGTCTGAGCTTCCTGGGGTTGTCTAATTGGATCTGTTTGAATATAATGTTCTTGAAGTTTCTTTTGTATTCCTTCTTAATTCATAATGATGCATGTTTGGTTAATATCCTATAAAAGTTTCTTTTCTAGGTTTCTATATTGTGGCTACATAGGAAAGGATATGTTGTGTTATCTATGACCCCATATCTGGTGCACTTGTTTTCTTTATATATTGAGAGGAATCTACTATATA